CCTAGTGCCCGCCTGCCTGTATGCCTTGTCTGGATCCTACACCTGTGCAGATTCATGTGCTGCAGCGATCTTCTTGTTCCCTGACACATATACTGTATTGAAAAGGTCCATATGTCATTGCTGTGTAAATTTTTCACAGTTCAGCTAAAAGATATCTTTAAAAAGGTATACAGGGCTAAGAAGTGGTATTCCCATATATGTATGAAATTGAAACAAATCCTAACTAGATGTTCATAGTTCAAAAGTAACACAAATTGTTCTTCCCAAGCCTGCAGAATGCACTCCACCCAAGTAGAGAGAGGGGGGAGGATCCATCACAGGATCCGACTGTCTTTAATATCTAACAACTTGAATCAGCGAGGGGTGGCTGTGGAAAATTTTTGTCTTTATGCTGAAATCCTCCAGTTTCAGGCCACTAAACTGAATTTTATTTCCTGAAATAATTATAACATAATTTTGTATTTAAATCTAATTTATACTGTATATGCTGTAAAATAGGGATATTGATAAATGAACAATCTGATAAATGTGTGACTTTTCTTACAGCATGATGGAAAACCATATTGCCACAAGCCTTGCTATGCAACTTTATATGGGCCAAAGGGTAAGTTTTTTTTTTTTTTAATATATATTATAACAGAGAAAACAGTGCTTGGAGTGTTCTGCTAACTCTTTAGTTATATGGCTTACAATTCAGTGTATTCTTTTTTTTACTATTTCAAATGCAACCTGTACTTTTTTTGACTAAAGCCCACTTTTCAAATACAATGTTTTGTGGCTCTATTATTTGTTATATTAACATATCATTAATATAGCCTTGCTAAATGTTTTAAACTTCTTGGTAAATTTCTGTTATCGCACCAGAGAGAGTATTCTCCTTCAGCATGCTTTTTAATCGGTGAGTATGAGTATTGTTACTTTTGGTCAAGTACTCGCTGATACCGAGTACCGATACCTTTGCAGTGCGCTTTGAGGCTATACAAAATGAATGGGCTCAAATCGCACTGCAAAGAATTGCATGTGATTTGAAGAGGAATGTGGTGCGTTTCCTGTCAGAATCGCATGCATCTCACACAGCTCCTGTATGAACCCAAGCTTGTCATAGTGACTTTGAATGAAAAAAGGCACACTACTGGGAGCTGATGTCCATAATTATGAATAATAAAGTAGCCAATACAACATTTGGACGGATATCACAAGCAGGTCTGTCCAACCACCAGGAGCAATGTGTTAGTATGCAGAAGAACTGAAGAAGAGCACTATGGATAATCAGCAACAAGTTGGTGCTAGACCAACTGAAGAATCTGAGTGTAACCAAGATACTGCCAGAAGGACAAATATAAATCCAATAGAGATAAAAGTTTATTCAGTCATAACAATAGAAGATATGTAACAGCAGCCAATTGTTAAAAAAGCTTGAGAAATCACAAATAATTGTTCAATGTATTTTCTGAACAGTGCTGGTGGCAGAGGTAAAGTGATAACATACGGGTTTGCTGAATGAGAGCTGGGGAAGCCTGAGTGAACAACATAAAGATGGTAAAGTGGTGATATTGCTTTGTGAATGCTGTAAAGTAGCAATTCATTTATATTTATACTTAAAACGCAGCTAAAAAACCACTAACCACTAAAAAAAATTAAAATAATAATAATCCAATATAAAAAATTAGATGATAATAAATACAAAACAAAATTGACTAAAAAACATAAATACAGCACATTTTGAGGACCAATATCAAACCTGCAATGTATATATCGTTATATCACAAGACATGTGCAGAATGAAAAATTTTAGTTTGTTTTGTTATTTAAATAATTTCATTTAGTTAAATTTGTTTAATTTGTTTTCGGAACTCGTTTCATTTTTGAATTCGATTCTATTCAAATTAAATTCGACTGAATTTGAATTGGCATTGGAATTCTAATTTATTCTATTCAAAATTCAAATTTTGGAAGATGGTTATATTCTAACTCATTCTATTTTATTGTTTTTCCTATTCTGTTCTTTTCCATTCTAATCTATTTGAATTCAAATTTATTCTATTTGAAATTTGAATTTCTAATCTATTGTTTCTATTCTTTTCTAGCAACTTACCCTCCAGAAGATTTAACCCCCCATCATGACAAGTCCATTTTTTGCTATACAGCTGTGCACTATTTTAACTGACAATTGCTTGCTCATGCAACACTGTTCACAAATGAAATTTACATAATTTTTTTCCTTATACAAATAGAGCTTTCTTTTAGTGATATTTGATGAGCACTGGAGGGGGAGGGGGAGGGTTGCGCTATACATGAAAAAAGACTGCATTTTTTTATTTCTTTTTTTAAAAAAACTATTTTTACTTTTTGTTATAAAAGCTATCCAATAAAAAAACAAGTAAAATAAAATTTCTTCATAAAATTAGGCCAAAATGTATTCTGCTACATGTCTTTGTAAAAAAAATCCAAATAAATGTATATGAATCAGTTTGCGTGAAAGGTAATGCATCTACAAATGGCAGTATTTATACTAGAATTTTTTTTTAATTCATTTTTTTAACCGCCTCCCCCCCGCCATATAGTCCAATCATGGACGCAAGGTGGTTCTCTCGTTCTGGGAGGACGTCATATGACGTCCTCCCATTCTCACCGCACATGCTCGGCTCCGGGAGTGTGCAGCGCGATCAGCGGTGCGCTGTGTCCCTCAGACACAACGGATCATCGATCCATGGAAAGAGCCGAAGATGTTGGCTCGGTCATGTGATCAGCTGTGTCCAATCACAGCTGATCACATGTAAACAGGGAAATGCCGGTTATCGGCATTTCTCTCCTCACGAGCTGTCACGCTGAGGGGACATGTACACTGATCATCAGGGCACTGATGATCAGTGTGCCCTGATGATCAGTGTAGCCCCAGCAGTGCCACCTGTCAGTGTCCATCAGTGCCAGCTCTCAGTGCTCATCCATGCCACCTGCCAGTGCCCATCAGTGCCACATCAATGCCACATATCAGTGCCTACCAGTGCACATCAATGCCACATATCAGTGCCCATCTGAGCTGCCTTTGTGTCACCCATCAGAGCCAGTCAGTGCCACTTATCAATGCCAATCAGTGCCACCTATCACTGCTGTCAATCAGTGCCGCCTATCAGTGCCAGTCAGTGCCACCTATCAGTGTGCATCAGTGCCGCCTATCAGTGCCATATATGAGTGCTGCCTTTCAGTGCCCATTAGTGATGCCTGTCAATGCCCATCAGTGCCACCTACCAGTGCCTCCTCATCAGTGCAGCCTATCAGTGCCCATCACTGCAGCCTCATTAGCGCACATCAGTGAAGGAGAAAAATCACTTATTTACAAAATTTTATAACAAAAAGCTAAGAAAAAACTTTTTTTTTTTCAAAATGTTCAGTGGTTTTTGGTTTGTTTAAGAAAAAATAAAAAAACCCAGAGGTGATTAAAAACCACCAAAATAAAGCTCTGTCACAAACAAATGCTAAAAATTTCATATGGGTACAGTGTTGCATGACCACGCAATTGTCATTCAAAGTGTGACAGCGCTGAAAGCTGGAAATTGGCCAGGGCAGGAAGGGGGTATAAGTGCCCTGTAGGCTAGTGGTTAAACTAGTAATGGCGGCAATCAGTGACTTATGGAGGGCATCTGACACTGGGTGGGAATTGACTAACTGCCACTGACATCTCCAGTGACACTAATACAGTGATCGGTGCTAATAAAAAGCACTGACACAGTACTAATGACACTGGCAGAAAGGGGTTAACATCTGGGGCGATTAAAGGGTTAACTGTGTGTTAGGGAGTCATTTCACTGTGTACTGTGTAGTGTTTTACTAGGGGATTTGCTAGTTTTTATCTCCCTCATTTGCAGAGAGATACAAACCAGCATGTCCCCGCTGACAGGAGAGAGATCTGTATTGTTTATACCAGGGGTAGGCAACCTTTTGAGCATGGTGTGCTGAAAAATGTTTTTGAAGAAATTGAGAGTGCCAGTTATATAAAAAATTTCAACTTTACAAACTCAGTCACGAAAGGAAATTTTTATACAGTAAATGCCATAAGCTATTTGAATAAAGGTAAGAAGCTTTCAAGGAGGCAAGTATAGTAAGGTTGAAATTAATATCTCAGCCGAGGATTTCTGTGAAATATACAGTTGGAAATGAAGTGTGAGGTAAGAGTGGTCACCCTAATAAAGTTCTCTCAGATCAAATCCAATTCCTGCACCCTCAGACCCTAAATCAGCCCTCATTCCTGCACCTTCACACCTCAGATCACCCTAATTCCTGAACCTTCACACCTCAGATCACCCCAGTACCTGCAGCTTCACACCTCAGATCACCCCAATTCCTGCACCGTTACCCCTCAGATCACCTCAATACCTGCTTTTTCACACCCCAGAACAGCTGTCAACACTGCCTGGCGGTACCTCTAGCGCTCCACAGGACAGGACCACCCAGGGCGCAGGGTGTAAGTCCCAGTCTGCTTGTTCACCAGGGCCCCTGATGGTGGGGATGGACTTGGAGCAGACCATGACCAGGTCGCGGCCCCTGAGTACACTTGCCTGTGGTAGAGGGATCCGCCAGAGGTATATACTGGTAGAGAGCCTGATGTGAAGAGGTGGATAGGCCTGGGCAGCAGTGACCGGATCCGTATAGGATGGATGGATGGATGGATGGCAGGGTAGTGTAGCGTAGTCAGACGGGCCAGGTCGGTAACAGCGGGAATAGCATGGTACAAAGTAGCAGGCAAAGAGTAGACAGGTCATACGCCGGGTTCAGTAACAGGAGGTCAGATAAATAGGAATATCCAGGAGAGTAGTCAAATGAGCCAGGGGTCGGAGCAGGAGATAGTCAGCAAGGTCAGGATCAAGCAGGGTCAGCAACAAATCAATCAGCAGGAACACACGAGCAGGAACAGGATAAGAAGACCATACGGCAATCAGTGTCTGTGCAGGGCTGGTTTAAATAGTGCGCCCTGCACTGTCATTGGTGCCAGGCGCGCGTCCGCGATCGCGGGTGCGCATGCACGGCCGCCGCAGCTGCTCAGGTCCTAGCGTCTGCCGAATAGAGCGCATTGGCATTCTGCACATATGCAGACCCGTGCAGCGCCGCGACTGCTGACAACAGTCCTGATTCCTGTACCTTCACACCCCCAGATTAGGCCAATTCCTGCATCCTCACTCCTCCAATCACCCCAGATCCTGCATATTTGCACCCCAGATCAAGCCTAATTTATGATTCTTCAGGCCTCAGATCAGCTCCAGTTTCTGTACTTCATGTTTCATGTCATGCCTCAGATCAGCCCCGATTCCTTCACCTATACACTTCAGATCAGCCCCAATTCCTCCACCTATACACTTCAGATCAGCCCCAATTCCTCCACCTATACACTTCAGATCAGCCCCAATTCCTCCACCTATACACTTCAGAATAGCTCCAATTCCTGTACTTTCACACCTCAGATCACCCCAACTCTTGCACCACCAAACCTCAGATCAGCTCCAATTCTTGCATCTCCAGTCTCAGATCAGTCTCAATTCCTACACCTTCACATCTCAGCTCACACCAATGCCTGCACCTTAACCCATCAGATCACCCCAATGTCTGTACTTTTACAGCCCAGGTCACCCCAATTCCTGCACCTTCACACTCCAGATTGGCCCTAAATCCTTCAGGCCTTAGATCAGCCTCCATTCCTACACCTTCACCAATCAGATCACCCCATTTTCTGCACCTTCACACCTCAGCTCACCCCAATTACTGCAACTTCACATCCCAGTCCCCGACAACAATTCCTGTGCCTTCAGGCCTCAGATAAACCCCAATTCTTGAACCCCCACAACTCTGATCACAATTTCTGCACCTTCACACCTCAGATCACTCCAATTCTTGCACCTTCACATCTCAGGTCAGTCACAATTCCTGCACCTTCACACCTCAGGTCAGTCCCAATATCTGCACCTTCACACCTCAGGTTACCTCAATTCATGCACCTCCAGACCTCAGTTCACCCCAATTCCTGCATTTTTACAACCTAGATAAGCCCCAATTTCTTCAGGCCTCGTTCAATCTCAATTCCAGCATTTTCACACCCTAAATACCTGCATCTTTACACCTCTAATCATCTCCAGTTCCTGCACCCTTACAGCTCATATCACCCCAATTCCTACATGTTCACACCTCAGATCAGCCCCAGCTCCTGCACCTTCACATCTCAGAACAGCCCCAATCCCTGCACCTCCAGGTTTCAGATCAGCCCCAGCTCCTGCACCTTCACACCTTAGATCAGCCCCAATTCCTGCACCTCCAGGCCTCAGATCAGCCCCAGCTCCTGCACCTTCACACCTTAGATCAGCCCCAATTCCTGCACCTCCAGGCCTCAAATCAGCCCCAGCTCCTGCACCTTCACACCTTAGATCAGCCCCAATTCCTGCACCTCCAGGCCTCAGATCAGCCCTAATTTCTGCACCTTCACACCTCAGCTCACCCCAGTTCCTGGAACCTTATACCCCATTCTCCATTGACAATTCCTGTACCTTCACACCTCAGATCAATCCCAATCCCTGCACCTCCAAGCCTCAGATCAGCCTCAAGCACCTTTACACCCCATTCTACAGCGACAATTCCTGTGCCTTCAAGCCTCAGATCAGTCCCAATTCTTGCTCCCTCAGGCCCCAGATAACCCCCAATTCTTGAACCCCCAGAACACTAATCACAATTCCTGCATCTTTACACTTCATATCAGCCCCAATTCCTGCACCTCCAGACCTCAGATCAGCCCCAATTCCTGCACCTTCACACCTCAGACCAGTCCCAATTTCTGCACCTCCAGACCTCAGTTCATCCCAATTCCTGCATTTTTACAACCCAGATCAGCCTCAATTCCTGTTCCTACAGGCCTCAGATCAGCTCCAATCCTTGCACACTTACAGCTCATATCACCCCAATTACTGCACCTTCACACTTCGACTCACCCCAAATCCTCCAGGTTCACATCTCAGGTCACTTCTGAACCTTCATACCTCAGATTAGCCCACTTCCTGCACCTTCACACCTCTGATCTCCCCAAATCCTACATATTTGCACCCCAGATCAAGCCCAATTCATGTTCCTTCAGACCCCAGAGGGAATAGAGATGGGCAGGCACCAGCCACACTGCTTCTTCTGTATGCAGCCACTGGCCAGCTTTATTGTTTGGCAGGTGGGTCTCCCAAGACTCCCTTTGGATGCCGTCCTTGATGTTGTGTGCCACCTCCAGCACTGGTGCCAGGGGTTGCCTACCCCTGGTTTACACTTACAGATCTCTCTCGAGCCAGCGGCTCTGCCGATCACCGAGTCCCATGAATCGCTGGCTGGGACCCAGTGATTGACACCTACAGGAGCCAATGACAGTGCAGGTAGAGTGGCGTGCATGCGCCTACCTGGAAATGCAGAATCACATATATATAGATATATATATACACACACACACACGTGATTTTGCACAGAGTGGCTGTCTAGTAGCATTTGGCAAGTGGTTGCTCTATTCTAGTCGAATTTTAATTTATTTTATTCGAAATTTGAATTTCAGAAGCCAGGTATATTCTTTCTATTTTATTCTGTAGGTTATTCTGTTCTATTCTTTTCTCTTCTCTTCTTTTCTATTCTATTATTTTATATTGTAATGTGTTCTATTCTTTTTCTATCCTATTCGTTTATGTTCTATTTCATAAGATGGTTATATTTTTTCTATTCTACTCTAATTTATTCTATTTGAAAATCGAATTTTGGGAGATATATTCTATTATGTTCTGGTCTATTCTATTTTTCTCTATTATATTCTCTATTCTATTTGAATTAAAATGTATTCTATTCGAATTCTGGAAAAAACAGTTACATTCTTTCAATTTTACTCTATTCTATTGTTTTTTCTATTCTGTTCTGTTCTATTTAAATTCAATTTTCTATTCAAAATTTGAATTTCACAAGACAGTTATATTCTATTTTATTCTATTCTACCGTTTATCTATTATTTTCTATTCTACTTTATTCTTTTATTGTCTATTCTATTCGATCTAGTCTATCCTTTTATGTTCTATTCAATTTGAATTCAAACTTTGTCTGAATTTCGTTTCGCTATTTTGGATTTGTTTCTATTGTAATTCAGAAATTTGGAAACCTTTGAAACTTTTTTTGAATTCAGAATGAAACAAACCACACATGTATATAGCACACTATGTACTTCTGGATCCTCATTGAGTCCATC